TTTTCCAGGTAGTATGCATTGTTCAGAACAGCTGCCACTTTGATACAATCCTCGTTTGCAATGTTAAGCACATTAGTCTGCACTTTGCCTTGATTGACAGCCAGCATAACCCCTTTCCCAATCAAAGACTTCACAGTTGCGAACCACAACCACGATTTCTCGCCGCCGGGTCTGCGCTTGCTGATCTGGACTTCTGCCATCTTTCCTAGGGACAGGAAAGCCTTTGCTTGCCTTGCCACTTGTTGTTGCACTCCAGAAATTGGCTGAAAACAAGAACAGACAGAAGTTTTACAAACCATCTGTAGCCCCTAGATTCCAACAGTCATGCATTTATTGGCACAATGCCTGGAGCTGACAATAGGATATGCCACAACCGACACTGCCAAAGAGTTAATTGAATCCACATACTGAATTCCACTGTTACAAGCGCTGTTTTGTTTGATACTGTTTGATGTTTTTCTCATTTTTGTCTGTCTCTTTTAGAATCCAAAAAAAGAGTCTCTAGCACTGAATCACTCCAAAAAAATTTAAAAGGTGGTACATAAAGGATTATTATGCTTAATACTTGGCATTTGCACAAGTATATCATATGTTAATTAATCCATCATGAAACCAGTTGTACAAAGCTGTAGCATAAACATTTTCCAGATGGGGAAATGGAGGCAGTGAGGCTAACTAGCTTGCAAAAGGCTACAGAGGCAAATAAATGTTAGGCAAGGGTTAAAATGAAAAAACCTTATTTACATCTAGCTAAGCTCACAGTGCAGCTCTTACCTTACAGACTAAAAACATTGTTTGAAAGGAATACTGCACTTGTTATTGATCTAAACATTTCTAGCAATTTCCCTCCGAATCATTCCTATTGCAGAAAGGTTGAAAGACCTAAGATGATGGTCATGAGTTTCCTTGCACATTACATCACTTACGTAATAATTGCAGTGTTATATTCTCCTATTATCCAACATGGAAACATAAGCTAGGTGGTGATAAACCTATTGTAGGCTTCTTGTCATTTACCTTGAACATTTAATGCTTCTCATAAAGCGAAGTTACATACATAATTGGTAGAAGTGGCACTTAGTAAGTGAGGAGTGGATCACTTAATAATATGTCTCCACTGGCATTCAGTAACCAAGGTCCATTTCCCTTTGCCCTGTGTGGAGGCGTATACATATTTAAAAGTACTTAAAAGGCATTAATTTGTTCATTCACCTAGTCATAACGTAAAGAGAATAATTCCAAAGCTTTCAAAGACCCAATGCCCTGAATGTTGGCCACACAGAATGGTACCAAAAGTTGAACGACTTGAGGGATGAGCAGGCTATGCCAGGGAACATTTCCTTCTGCCATGGGCAGTGTTCCCTCTTAGGCAATTTTCTGGTGGCTGCACAGCAGTGGTGGGTGGGGCAATGAGAGTGACTCTTTTGTACAGCCGAATATAAGCCAGAGGTTTCTACACATGCATCTCTCCAGGCAAGTGAGAGGCATTATTATGGTTCAAAGTCATTTTCCAGTCAGACAAAACTACAGGAGGAGGGTTTAGTGCAGGATCAGTGATGGGTGTGGGCTGAGGAGGGGGCATGACCCGAGGAGGCCTGGCTTTGGCACCTGGGCCTGAAGTGCCTGACTCCTACACTAGGCAGGTGGAAGTGGTGGATGGCTATTGAGCCAGGAAAGGACGGAGCAGAAGGGGAAGAGCCATGGCTCAGTGGTTGAGCACATGCTCTGCATGCAAATGGTTGTAGGTTCAATCCACAGCATCACCAGGCAGGAGTGGGAGAGGCCCCATCTGAGAGTCCCTGCCAGTCTGTGTGGCCAGTACTGAGCTAGCTAGGTCAATGGTCTGATTTGGTATAAATTGTCTTACATTCCCGTGACCTGCAATGCAAGAAAATGGAGGAGGGAAGAAGCTAGAGCTATTTCTTCAATGCACTCGCTCCTCCTGTGTTCAGGGCCTGTGCACAGGAAAGAAAGTATATGCTGATACAATTTTATGGGTTGTGTGAATATGGTTTCTGCTGAGAATACAGCTTGGGAAACTGATGCAGGTGGTGGCTTCTTGACCTATATAGCACATGAAACCATCCTGATGCTTTAATTTAAAAACCAGAGAAGTTACAAAGATGCTTTAGAACAATTGTCATGAGTGAGCAACTGTTCTAAAGTTTCTCATTCCCTGCCAGTAACTGGAAACTTGATGGCGCATGGCCTTTTGATCTTTGAACAGTTAAGATTTATAATCGCTATTTTCCTAAATACCAGATAGGGCTTTTCTGTTTTACATTCCATTTATTTTTGTCCATCATTTAAACTGGCTACATATTTCTGGACCGCAGGAGATTTTTTTTTATCAAAAAATTTCATAAGCACCTAGAGTTTTTTTGGCTCTATGAAATGTAATGGGTTTTACCTGAGGTAATTTCACATTCAATATTTTATCTTCACATATAAAATATGGTTAATATTAAAGAGAAGTAAAATTGTACTGGTGCTTGGTATGCATAATTTATATCACCTGTTCTTCTGTTTATTTCACAGTCTATTTTTTATTACAGTGTTCACTTTCTGCCTTGAGGCAGGGTGCCGGTATAAATCCAATCTCCAGAGCTTCCACTGGGAAAGTTACAATTCTAAAAAAGGGTTTCAAAATACTATTATTTATTGATTAGGTCTATCCTTCTTCCTATTTTAGTTTGCATTATGAAAAGCCAATTAGGATATGTCGAAATTCAGACCTAATCTTTAGCAAATGCACCAAGCAAGAGCAGAATTAGCATCTAGTCTATGGATATCTTGTGAATAAAAAATAGTCTTTACAAAGTGCATTTAAATATTTTTTAATGCCACATAAGCCTTTGAGGATTATAGTGCTCAAACAGCATGGCGTCCTTTATTCAATTTTGACACAGTTTAATATTCACTTTCTTTTTTCCCCTTACCGGTACGTCATCCCACTGCTGACTCTTCACAAGTTCATAGGAGGGCTCTGTTAAATCAAACTTGGGCACAGGGAATCCTGGGATAGCATTATGCAGGTGGAAGCCAAATGTTACCAGCCAGCTGTTGACATCTAACAAAATAATTGTGGAGAGAGAGAGATATCAGATTTTCAATCCCTGATTATTTAATTTAACTTTACAGGCGTTCACATCAGTTGGCCTGGATTCAGGTTTGAGCCACAAATATACTTTGGGGGGGAAACCATAGTATGGTTATATCTTAGCTCATCTAAACATTCTTCTTCTTCTTTGGAAAATGGCAATATAGATGCAGAATCCATTCTTATCCTGAGCCCCTGAGAGTCATCTGCACCTTCCCTTTCAAACTGGAAGCTGCCTGTGTGGCTCCTGCTGCATACACTCTGCAAGCAGCAGCTGGGTTTGTTTCCACGGCTTGTGTTGCTGGATTGGGACTGTGGGCCCAACCACACTTTCATTTGTCCCACGACCTCAAGTGATTTCAAGCCACGGGTTCGAGAGGGTTCCTCCCCCACTTTCCCTGGGAATCCCCACTCCTTACTGCTTAATCAGAGCACACATCAATCTGCAGAAAACCTGACTGATGTTTGCTCCCATTCAGCACTAAACCCTGGGTTTTTCCGAGGAAAGCGGTGGTACAAAAAACCAACAACCTCTCTCAGACCCATGACTTGGAAATGCTTGAAACCCCGGGACAAACGGAAGTGAGGATGGGTGTGCAGACTCAAAGAAAAGCAACACTGTTGGCTTTTACAGCAGAAGTGTCAATGGGCAAAGTACCAATTTCCTTCCTTGCTCATTCATCTAGCAGGTAATCTGCACTGTCAAAACTCACAGCCACGTGCATGCATGGACTTTTACAGTATCTGCAGGTATTATTGTTAGCTGACATGATAAATGATCTAGGGTCTAGAGCCAGAATAACTTATTTCCTCCTCTCAGCTTAATCTTCATAAGCAACGCACCCTTTCTAGACAAAATCCCTTTGCTATGAGATGAGGCCAACAACTTTGTAAATATTCAAAGTAGTCAAAATCTCACACCATTATTCTTTAAATATCTTACATGGTTGGTTCCTGATGGGTGCAAGATGGAGAAGGTAGTGTTCCATCTCCCCAGCTATGAAAGCACAGACAATTCTGTCCCATAAGATTCTGACTTGCTTCAGGACTACACATGACTGGGAACTATGCAAATTCAGGAAAACGTTCCCATACCTGTCCTGCCCCTATTACGGCAAAACAAGCTACTAGAAACAAGACTTTATGGTTATTTTGACTGCTGGAGATAAAACCCAGAAAATAACTGTTTTAGAAGGCAGGGAATGAATCTAGTCCTACTTTTATTCAGCACATAAAGTCAGGAGTTGAAGGATCTGTTTTTATGGGAAGTGCCAAACTAGTACTCTTGCAGTGTAATTGGAATCTGTCTACACAGTTGCTGCAGAGCAGAAGGATAATACAATAATGAGGAAAGAGGCATTCTGCCACCCATTCCTCTTGCACCACATGCAAACAATACCCACAAGTACTTTTGAAACACGGTTCTTAGGGTGCTGGGACTGCTAGGATAAGTATTTGAGCTGAATGACCACTGGATCTTCTCATCAAAGTGGGGAAGGGGGAAAAGATATTTGTGGACAACATTTTATACAGTAGTTATCAACATATAATGGGTACAACAAGTAGTTTTAGCTTTGTGAAAGTTGAAAAGTGAAAGTTGGCAGTAAAAACCACATGGTAAGCAGGCCTAGGTCCTGCATTAATCTAGTTTGTCTGAGAACTCCCAAATTACCAGGAGAGATGACAAAACAGTGGGAAATAAGAAACACTATTTTTCATTTAATATGCAAATGAATACACTGCCACAAACAGCAAGTGGGAGTGATAGCACATTATTTTTCATACTGGTAGACGATGGCTTGGAAAGATTCCCTTCACAAAGATGATCATGTTACAGATAGGTAGCCGTGTTGGTCTGCCATAGTCAAAATAAAAAAATTCCTTCCAGTAGCACCTTTAAGACCAACTAAGTTAGTTCTTGGTATGAGCTTTCGTGTGCAAGCACACTTCTTCAGATACACTGAAACAGAAGTTGCCAGATCACTATATAGAAGGATCTGGCAACTTCTGTTTCAGTGTATCTGAAGAAGTGTGCTTGCACACGAAAGCTCATACCAAGAACTAACTTAGTTGGTCTTAAAGGTGCTACTGGAAGGAATTTTTTTTTATTTAAAGATGATCATGTGAGGTGTTATCATGCAAGTAAGAATCCCTACCAGGCACTCTATATAAAGTTGCCATCTGGCATAATATCACCTATAATATTCAATACATTACTAGTTTATAAATGGTTGCTGTGGGAACTGTCTAGTCAGATATAGAAACATCAAAATTGTGTTTTCCTTCCTGCAATTCCTTTGTTCTGAATCTCTTAAGAGGGCTGTAATATTCTGCAAGGACAAAGGAGTGTTGACCATTCCTAGCCAAATGCCAGTTAATGATCTCAGGAGATAAGGCCATTGCTCCAGTAATAACGATGGACTTTGACAGATGTATTTTGGAATATATTTTACACAACTCTATTTGCTTTTGTTCTCACTAAGATTGAATGAACTAGAATATGCATGGCAAAAACTATTTCGCCTTAGTGGCCTATATCCCTCATCATATTCAGCACACACTGCTGTCAGCTAGATAGCGTACAAGTAACTCACAATTTACACACATTTAACTTGTGCACGTTCAGCTTTACGGACTTGGCAATTAAAAAAAAAATTAAGGGGGAGGAAAGGGTGTGAGTACCCAGTGAAAAAACACTCTGGCAATCCCACCTACTACTGAATGCCAAGAGTTTTGACTCTACACGATTTTGACTTCACGTGCTATCCCTGGAACATAACTCCTGTGCAAATTGACTGTCACTGGTAATTAATTCCAAGGTGTTGCGTACAATGCAATTTGCTAACCTGGTAGATTATGAGCAAGCAGAAATTCCTGTCAAGTGTAAATCACTAAAAAAAAACAACCTTTATTTACCTGTGATATAATCTTTAACATCATGTATTCTGCTGGCTGGGTTGTTATTTCGGAACATGTATAGATTAAAAGGAGCTGGATCCTTCCCTATTTTTTTCCAGATTTCAATGTCAGGTGTAGTCCAACGGCCTGCCAGTATGTCATAATCTCTTTGCCCAAAGTGAATCAGTTTGGTCAAAGGGTCATAAAGGCCTCCATGGAATCCAATCACCAACTGGAAGTCAAGATTGGAGTCAAAATAGATCTCGCCGTAAGCTGTGTACTGGATCTGCTTCAACATCAGACCATTGCTGCTAAAAACAGCGAGTGGCGTGCCTGTGTTGTCCGAAGCGATGTAGAACTCATCTCCACTGCTGATCTCCATGGCAAAGAGGTGTCCTTGCAAGTCATAGTAGAGAGAGGTGATTTCAGAACTTGAATGGTTGTATACATGAGTTATCCTTGTAGGATATGTGAGGTCAGCATAAAAAAACTGGAGGTGTTGTCCCAGACTGGTTTTACTGGAAACTCGTCTCCCAAGCCCATCGTAACGGTATATCACTGTCCACCCACTGCCTTTGCTATAAACTCTGGTCAGCAGGCCCTTTGAGCTGTATTCAAATATCTCTGTACCTCTCTGCCGCAGGAATCCATCTTCATCTAAACGGTACTGTACATCACCTAGCCGAGTGATTCTGTCTCTCAAGTCATACCGAAGTGGTGTTAAACGAGCACTATTACTTGGATTGAGCAGATGGAGATTGCCGTTCAGGTCATAGTTGTATCGCCACATTATTTTTTCGTTCAGGTAAACTGTCTGTAGTTGCCCATCGACATCATATTCATACGCATACTTGGTTGTGTTAGCAAATGGCCCTATTTTAATTTCTCTTTTAGTTACCCGTCCCATGTTATCATACTGAATTGTAATCCAGTACATAAGGGATCTGAATATTTCATACTGAATTTCTTTTATGCGGCCGTGGGCATCAAAGTGTTTTGTGTAAGTCATTACAGCTGTGGAAATTATCTGGTTAATGTCATAATATATAACCCCAAATTTTCCAAACTGCTCAACTTTTCCAGAGATGTCATCAAACTGGTAAAGATCAATAGGCAATGGAGTTTCATTGATTACACCTTGCATGCTAGTCACTCTGAAGCTATTGTCATAGCTGTAGTCAAATCGGGCATTTACCATTCCATCTTCACTAAAGCGGAAAATCTGCCTGTCAATCAATGGGCCAATTTGCCTGTACCTAATGGTGCAGATAAACCCATCGCTCTGGAGGTTTACTGTTTTCAGAACTCCTGCTGTCTCATCATAAGTAAAACTGACTCTTGTGCTATCATAGAGGATTTCAGAGAGCCTGGTCTGCCTTCTGTATTTGAAAAGGACTCTTCGACTTGTACCCAAGAAAGCAGTTTGTAGCAGCTGCCCTTCCTCATTGTAGTCCATGATGACAGAAGCATTGCTTTCAGGGGGGTTGTAGATGTTTCGATAATAGCCAATGGAACGGATAGTCTGCATGGTATGGCGAGCAACACTAGGCATGGTTATTGCAGAAAGCCGATCCAGTAAGTCATATTCAAAAATGTACTGCCGTTGACTATGCAGCAAGAGGACCATAGACTGAAAAGGAAAGGAAAAGGAAGTTTAATCCAGTGCCAAAACCACTGTATGATAACAGCACTTTGTTTGAGTAAATCATCATCTTCTAAATTGAGTTATCCTTGACCTTACATATTGGTAATTATTCTCTGCCTAATTCATTTGGATACTTAATTGTAAGGGGTTTGGTAATTAGTAGCTCCAGACTCTTAATGTGCTACTTGTTGTGACTGAGCCATTCTTTTATCAAGCACTCACAGCCAAACAGCAGATTGTCAATGGATTTGGATAAGTCATGTTTAATACTGGCAAAAGTGAAACTGTCTTAAAGCCAATAACTCAGGAAGGGAACAACATATGGAAGAGACAATTTCACTCCTGTAATTAGAGATAATTTAGCGAGAAGTTTACTAGCCTGAAGATCCCTGAACCTCCTCTTCCACATCTATTTGTCAGATGGGCAAAGCAATTTATTCATTATTTACATCAAACTTTGTAGAGTCAATCAGCCACCAAATGACTTTTTTTGGGTAAAGCTTCAGTGGTGTTGCTTGTTTACATTATTCACATGAAGATGTATGAAACAGTCATAATATATCCCTGGCTTTTCTTATCTAAGGCAAAGCCTGCTCTGGCCCCCTGAAAGTGATGTCACCTTAAAAGATAATAGAAGGCAACACAATTGGATGCTTTCATTGCGTCTTGATTGATTCCATAAGACTGAACATATGAAGCCCTCAGTTTTAAGACATAACATATTTAGAAGCACTTACATTATGATCTGCTCAGTACTGTGCTATGCAAGCAAAGCGTGGGATTGAGTTTCCAGTGCACATATAAAGGAGTACCTTATCCCTTCTTTTGGCACAAGAAATTGCACTCTCTGCCAGGCGGCAGAAGTTACTGTAACTGCTGCACCAATGCTGGGGAAATGCCCTTATACAGCAGACACAGCCGCAGCACATGTGTGAGAGTTCGGATTTAAAGAAAATGTGGTACAGTTTATCTTGCATGTAAAACTTACAGTTCATCTGTAAAACTTGCAGTGTGGATGCAATCAGGCTGCCAGTGACATTTGGCGGAGCTAAGGCAGGTAGTGACAAGAGGTAAAAGTCTTTTCCGCAATGGTGACCTGGCTTTGGAGCTCTCAGTAGAGCTTTGCTTGGCACAAAGTCTACTGTCCTTTTGGTACCAGGTGAAAACCTTTATGCTCTCCACACCTTTTCGATTTCCTTTTGCAAATTGGATTTTATCTTGTTACTCTGCTGCTGTGTCTTTTTTCCCTTACTGTTGCAAATTTTAAATTGGGTTGTAACCAATAGCTGTTCTTTTGCTGATAGAAAGCTCTTTCATTCAGCATAGCTTCCTGTCAGCAGAACAGGAACTAGGGTGGTCTCTAGTGATTCTCCTTCCCCTTGGAAGCCCCATGCAGCACCTGCCATGCTGTTCCTTCAAACCATCCAGAGTTGATTTTGGAGGGGGCTGCAGAAGGGTAGGAGAATAGCTGAAAACACCAAATGCATACAAGCAATAGTTTTTATCTGTGGCGGAAGCTGCTTTTCAAAATTAAAAATGGAATAGGAAATACATATTCTACTTATTATTTAATAAGTAGATAAAATTTGGCATGATTCTGAGAAAAACAACTGTAATTAAACTTTTTTCAGGTCACTGGGATGCAATCACTCAAGTAATCCTTAATTCTGATCTATTTCGATGGCATCATTAACTTTCACTGGATTGCACCAATTGGCAGCAAACCAACAAATGTAAGAAGTGCACCTTATTTTAGGAACTGTATAGATCCATATGCTTATTCTTCAGGTATGGATATTTGTAGCTCCACAGTCTAAAACTAAAAACCTTGTACATCAGTGTATGGCTTGTGACCATTTTCTGCAGCAATAGCTCACTAATTTAACTGCAAGACACACACATTCCTACGATAGGATAGCACTTTACCTTTTCAAGATATGTGTAACTCCATGTTTTGCCATCAGCAAATACTCTAGATACAATTCTTCCCTGTCCATCATAATCTACTTTTTCACTAGTAGTTCCTCGCTGGATACTGCCAATTTGACCTGTAGATGAATAGGTAACATTGACAGCCATAAGCTTGCTGCTTGGGAGCCAGAGAGTTGGGTGTCCTGATGTGTCATAGGCAATCCTCAACAGAAATTTACGATGGTCATCGTAGATCTTCTCTGTCTTTGAGGTCCGATCAAAGTCAACAGAAAGGAGGTTCCTACCATTAACCTTTTATGAAACAAACAAGATGACAAAATAAATCATGTTGTTTCACCACAGGCTGTTTTACTTCCTCATAGCAACAGCTATTTGAACATCATTATTTAAACACCCTTTGCAATGACTGATTTCCTTTGTCAATAAATTAATTTAGAAACTTCTTGGTATAAGTACCCGACATTAGATTAACTGCCATTTAAAAAGGTTTCATTAAATAAAGATGTATTGGCATTTATTCAAACCTTTTCAGTTAATTCCCATGGAATTTAGTTAAATGTTAATATAATAAACAATACATACATTGATATACTTTATAA